TTTTTTTTTTTTTTTTTTTTTTTTGGAGTACTTTGGCTATCCTTGATGGAGTTCCTACAAAATTCAGATTCTTCAAAGGACATATTGGCAGATAAAACAATCATTGAAGAATTGTAATATTTCACGAATTTAGACCCCTTGATATATCACAAGGTAATATTAACATGTAATACAGTCATTGAAGCATTGTAAGATTCGACAAAGCTAAACATCTTTATATGATCCAAGTAAAGAGAAATTACCTGCACTGTGGATGTATTCTCAAAGAAATTCCGAATTAGTGGTTTCATGTCAAAAATATCATCAGGTACCCACGTATCACCCATCTTTGGAAAAGTGTTGTATGCATGCCCCTGTAATCCAGCATACAAGGAGAAGCGTGACCTCTTTTGAATCACAAATAAATTTTTAGTGCATAATAATAAGAAAAAAATAATCACATACTGCATCATTTCCAGCGACAAATGCTCCTGAAATGGCAGTAATACCAACAAGTAAGCTCACAGGAAGAGCAAATCTTCTAACTTTTAATGCACCACGAGCCCAAGCCACAGACTCAACAGGTGGTTCAGGCATGACAACAGAGAGACCAGTCCAGAAAAGACCACAATAGATAATGAAGGCTGACGTAAGATGAGCTGCAAGGCGATAAGGGCTTACTCTTGGCTGAGTATACTCAGATGCTGGCTCCTGTGGGATGAACTCCTTTAGGAACTCTCCACTCTATCAAAATTGGGAAATCAACAATCAACAGGGATAAAAGTGGATCTACCTCTAAACCACTCTTTACCATCCACCAGCCAATTAGTCCCTGCCCAGCACCAAGGGCAAAAAGTGTCGACAATCTCAGTCCAAGACGTAAGGATATATAACCCTTACGAAGAAAATATGAAAAGGGCAAAGCAAACATAATACCCAATGCCCTTCCCCACATTCGATGTGCATATTCCATCCAATATATAAATTTGAAATCTTCAATACTCATGCCTTTGTTAACACTGTAGAATTTTCAAACATCATAAAGTCATAAAATTCATGGGAACTATTTCTATTGAAAAATCAAATCAATGCAGGAAAGCTTCAAAAATATATAGCCAAACACTAATTAAAAAATGACACTATATGACTTCCAAAATACCAATTCCTCGAGTCGACTTTCCTTTCTAATGAACCATCAATTATCAAGAATCTAAACAAACCATGTATTAACATGCCAATCGAGATTTAACACACAATCATTATTCATGCAAGCAAACAACATAACTATGCAGTAAAAGACTAGCTCCAAAGCTAGAGAAATAATGAATTTTGATACACATACCGTTTGTATTCAGGGGACTGCTTATACTTTTCAAACTCCTGCAGCCATTCTTCATCTGATAGAGGGGGGAGTTGCCCAGTGAACTTCCAATCAGTCATGGAAAGTCCAGATCGTGTCAGACGTGTAACACCACCAAGAACCACCATACTGAAAACCCATGCAGCAGAGCCAAAAAGCCATATCCCGACCATTTTCTGAGCACGAGGACCAGCAGTTACAAGCAACTTCAGACCCTCCTTACTCGAGGCAACAGAAGCCACCGTAGACATATTCCTCAATGATGGCACCTGATGAACCTAAAAACAGCATAAAACATGCCTCTTATCGTGAATACAACATATAAAGTACGCATCTTTTGTGTGAAAAATGTCTAAAAGGTTGAAAAGAATCTAAGATGGCACAATGTATCAAGTATTAACATCAATAAAAGCTACAAGAGGTCAACCAAAAGATCACAAACTGGATAAATCTTGTTTTTAATCATTATTATTAAACATTCATGCTAAATATAACTTGCAGTCAGGCGCTGAATTGGCTCAGTAGAACTTCAAATCGACCCAATACTAGTAGATACAGCGTCAGTACAAAGACATCAAACCCAACCAAAAATCGAAAAACACGGGAGCCACAAAGCAAAATAAAACACTAGATAAAATCCTCTCAGTCAAATCCTAAACGAATTCGATTCCATCTCATCTACGTAACTCAAGTTATGAGAAGAAACCTGGACGAACTCCCGGAATAAAAAATAAAAACATTCGCTAAATAAAAGAAAAAGGAGGAAGAAATGGAATAGAGAGAAATAGGACCTTGGAGAAGGATCGGTATCCATAGACGCCAAATAGGCATTTCTTTGCAGTTTGGGAAGAGAACGATCTGACTGGTTCGTGGCGAAGAACAGTGGAAGAATTCGATTGAATAAGAGTATTATAGACACGGCTGAAGCCTTCCTTCCGCCGCACAAATGAAGCCACCACTCTGCCCTGAAACATTCTCTCTCTCTCTCTCTCTCTCTCTCTCTCTCCCTCTCTCCCTCTCTCTCTTCCGACTTAGAGGGTTTAGCAGTGGTTCCTGTGATGAAGGCGATTCACCGCCAATGCCAGGAAGCAGTGACAACGAAACGACCACGTTTCAAGGAGAGACTTTGCACTCATTAGCTTCCTTTTATAATTTTTTTTTTATTATTTTAATATGTATATAATATGGGTTTAAAACATTATTTATTTATATATTTTCATTTAAATAATAATTTAATCTTTAAACTTTAATTAAAGCCTTATTTCTTTATAATTTTAAAGCTAAATTATATTTTTCAGTCCATAAATTTTGGATTTTCAGCTCTAAATATCAAAATTCAACAATAAAGTCTTAATATTTAAAAAATATTTGATTTTAGTCTCTACCACATTAAGTTTTTTTTAATAAATAAATAATTAAGAAAATAAAATTTTAAAAAATATAGTTTCTTTTTAAAGTGAATATACTAGCTAATAAATCATACCCAAATTAAAAGTATTCACGAGTTGGGTTAGGTTGGATCGAGTTGAGACATTTTTTAAAATTCAACTCGACTTTTTATTTTACATTTTTAATTTTAATAAAAGTAAAATATTAATTCGTAAAAATTATTTATTTATTTTTAAATATTTAATTAAAATTTATAAACTCGTTTCAATATATATTTTTTTAAATTACCTTTTAAATGGTTCATAATTATTAAAAAAATAGTCAAAAAATAATTAGGAAATTAAGAAAAAACTAATTATCTTATAAAAAATGTATTTTTTTAATTAAGAATAAATTAAGTTGATATGCTTCTCAAAACTCACGAACTAATCCATAAAATTTTCATTTATTTGAAATAAACTCGTTTTTCCTCTACGGTGCAGTTCTTCTATGCAAATTTAGTTGTGTGGCGCTACTATTGGCATGACAACGGGTATACTATAGGTTGACCCAACCCAATCCTCTCGTATTAGGGTTGACTTTCGCAGTTCTCTCTTTAACATCAATGATAGATAGAAACTGAATTGTCTCGCGATGTTCTAAACCCAATTCACTGTACTGTTTGAAGTGGCGAACAACGAAACACTACGTCGTACTGATTTTATAAAATCCATGACTAAAAATAGGATTTATTTATGTTTAATTATAAATTTTAAAGAAATTAGTGAATAATAAACTAAAGTAATTTATTATTAATTTAATACGTTTTGATTATTTACTTCATTCGAACTTATAGTGGTCTAGTCATTACTCGAGATTTCTAAAATTTAAATTTCTAAGTCTATTAAAATTTTAGACTTCATAATTTATGTCTAATAAATACACGAGCTTTAAATTTGATAAATAGTTTACTGGTACTCTACAGTAAAAAATGACGATTTGACACGACATTATACCTACTCTATATTTAAGAACTTGATTTCAATTGACTTGCAATGAAAATCAAGTCTGGGCCGTATGTTCTACCTACCTTTTTTAAATAACTTCGACTTTTATCGCAATAAATAAACAAAAGCAATACTTTTTGCACGTTCGTTGTCCTCTTACTCTTTAATTCTACCTTGTAGAAGTTTCTCGAGTGTCTACGACAGGTTCTATCAGTCTCGGGATAAGGAGATTTCTCCTATCGTGGCTGCTTCCGAGTCTACCGTCTAGTCGTCATTGCTCGATCACTTTCATTTCTGTTGAGTGATTGTTTAGGGAGCTTATGATACGATCTGAATTTTCTCCTTGAATTTGGATCTTGAACAACGCTCCATTATTTTAAGTCAAATGTTGTAACATGTTATGATCTGATGATAGAGTTGAACACGTTAATAAAAAAAGTCAAAAAGAAGGTAGTAGCTTAATTTTCAAGTAATTTAAAAAATAAAATGAATTTATTTATTTATTTTTAATTTAACCATTGGGAAAAAAAAAAAAAAAAAAAAACGGTTCCCTCTCCTCTTCCTCCGTGGACCCACGAAACTTCGTGCGGCCGACTGCAGGCGATTATTGTTTCAATTTACCGGTGGGGAACGCGTAGTGCTGTAAATAAATGAAACTGGGAAGGGTAATTTCGTAATTTCACCATTCATTGGCTCCCCTTAACTGTCTCCAGCCTTCATCGAGCTGGGACGTATTTATAAAGAAGAGAAAAAACGCTATTCTTTCGCCCCCCATTGCTCTCGCAATTCGTCTCTGGTTTTCTCTTCCATTTCTTTGTCCCGAAGATCTCTCTCTCTCTACCCTTTTTATCTCTCTAGAAAAGGTACCTACTCTCTCCTTCTCTCTCTCTCTAGATTTTTTATTTGAATTCTCGAATCGGAATCTGTAAGTTGAACTATCGTCATTTTGATGAAACCTTTTTGTTTATGTTGTTTGTAATTTTTTTTGTCTTTTCATGTTGTTGGGGAAATGGGAGTCGTTTTTTTAGCTGCGAAAGGTGTACTGGGATCTCTGTGTTTCTTGTTTCCATTTCGATCCGTGATGGATTTGGTGATTTCTTGCGTGCTATGCATTTTCTTTTGGTGATTAGTCGCTATTCTATGAATGGTGGATCGAATTGTCGTGATTCAGATTCAGATGATGGTTTAAACTTCGGACATTTTTCTTTTAGAATTTTGATCGTAGGTTGGGAATATACGGAGATCGGATCTGATGGTTAGTTCTTGATCAGGGACGTTTTTGCTGTTTGTGAAGTAAATTGAAGTTCTGTTGATTATGATCTCTTTTTTAATCATGATCATAGTTTTGTTAGTAGGCTTCAGTTTCTTCTTCTCTGTTTTGCCGCTTCTCTGCTACCGCCATTGAATTGGTTTGTTGGCTGAAGTTTTTTAGATCTGGGACTTTAGGATTGAGTTTCCGTTCTTTTGTTCTTAAATATAGTTTAAATTTTGTGTTCTCTTTCTCTTTTTCTGTTTACGGTTTGTGATCTTATGTTCTGGATTTGTCCTGTGCAGAAGTTGCATTGACATGGCTACACACACTCCTAAGAACATCCTCATTACTGGGGCTGCTGGATTTATTGCATCTCATGTTGCTAACAGACTTGTCAGGAACTATCCTGGCTACAAAATTGTTGTTCTGGACAAGCTTGATTATTGCTCAAATCTGAAGAATCTTCTTCCATCTAAACCATCTCCCAACTTCAAATTCGTCAAGGGGGACATTGGCAGCGCTGACCTTGTCAATTATCTCCTAATTACCGAGTCCATCGACACGATTATGCACTTTGCTGCCCAGACTCATGTTGACAACTCGTTTGGTAATAGTTTCGAGTTCACGAAGAATAACATCTATGGTACACATGTTCTTTTAGAAGCATGCAAGGTCACTGGACAGATTCGACGGTTCATCCACGTTAGTACCGATGAAGTGTATGGAGAGACAGATGAGGATGCTGTTGTGGGAAACCATGAGGCTTCCCAACTCCTCCCAACAAATCCATACTCTGCAACAAAAGCTGGAGCTGAAATGCTTGTTATGGCATATGGCAGGTCATATGGGTTACCTGTGATTACGACCCGAGGAAACAACGTATATGGACCTAATCAGTTTCCTGAGAAACTAATTCCAAAGTTCATTCTTTTGGCAATGAGAGGCCAGCCTCTTCCAATTCATGGGGATGGTTCTAATGTTAGGAGCTACCTGTACTGTGAGGATGTTGCTGAGGCTTTTGAAGTCATCCTTCACAAAGGGGAGGTTGGCCATGTTTATAACATTGGGACAAAGAAGGAGAGAAGGGTTATAGATGTTGCCCAAGATATATGCAAACTGTTTAAAATGGATTCAGAGGCAAGCATCAAATTTGTCGAAAACAGACCGTTTAATGATCAGAGGTATTTCTTGGATGATGAGAAACTCAAGATCTTGGGATGGTCTGAACGTACGACGTGGGAAGAAGGGCTCAAGAAGACGATCGAATGGTACACCAAGAACCCTGATTGGTGGGGTGATGTCTCTGGGGCTTTGCTGCCACATCCTAGAATGCTAATGATGCCCGGTGGAGTCGAGAGGCACTTTGAAGGGTCTGAAGAGGTAGCACCGGCTGCTTTCGTTTCAAGTAACACTAAGATGGTTGTCCCAACTTCCAGAAATCCAGGCTCTCCTCGCCAATCATACTTGAAATTTTTGATATATGGTAGGACAGGGTGGATTGGAGGCCTTCTTGGACAGCTATGTGATAAACAAGGCATTGCCTATGCATATGGCAAAGGGCGTTTGGAGGATCGGGCGTCGCTTTTGGCAGATATTCAGAATATTAAACCAACCCATGTTTTCAATGCTGCTGGAGTGACAGGGAGACCCAATGTTGATTGGTGTGAATCTCACAAAACCGAAACTATTCGAGCCAATGTCGCTGGAACCTTAACTTTAGCTGATGTTTGCCAGGAGCACGGGCTCTTGATGATGAACTTTGCCACTGGCTGTATCTTTGAGTACAACGCTCAACATCCAGAGGGTTCTGGCATTGGATTTAAGGAGGAGGACAAGCCAAATTTCATTGGTTCCTTTTATTCAAAAACCAAGGCCATGGTACGTACACAGATTCATGGGAACTTTCATCTTTCTGGTGTGTTGTGATTATTTCTCTTGCTAATCTTTATTGCTGATTGCAGGTGGAGGAGCTTCTGAAAGAATATGACAATGTCTGCACCCTCCGAGTTCGGATGCCGATATCATCCGACTTGAACAACCCACGCAACTTCATTACCAAGATTTCCCGCTACAACAAGGTCGTTAACATCCCAAACAGCATGACCATCCTGGATGAGCTTCTGCCCATTTCGATCGAGATGGCAAAGCGTAACTTGAGAGGCATCTGGAACTTCACAAACCCTGGCGTTGTGAGTCATAACGAGATCCTCGAAATGTACAAGAAATACATCGACCCCGAGTTCAAATGGGCTAACTTCACACTGGAAGAACAAGCAAAGGTAATTGTAGCCCCTAGAAGCAACAATGAGATGGATGCTTCAAAGTTGAAAAAGGAGTTCCCAGAGCTGCTCGGGATCAAGGAGTCGTTGATCAAGTACGTCTTCGAACCGAACAAGAAAACCTCGGCGTGATAAGTTAAGTTTCGATGCTTAGAAACTTAGGATTATATTCATAATTGCATTCTGGATTAGTTATTTATGCTTATGATTGTCACATTTTGTCTGTGATGATGTTTGCTTTTCGCTCATAATTAATTTTTATTGTCTCTGCTCTGCTCTGCTGCAATAGAAGGTGAAGGGTTATATTCTTCACAATCCACTTTATGATGTATTTTTTAGGATGCCAGTCTGTATTAAGTTTCAAATCCTATGTATTAATGCTATTAATTTTGCTGATTTTTTCCCCTTTCTTTTTTCTTTAATAATTATTTACTTTTTGTTTTTTTTTTTATAGTTAAATTTCTAAAATAAAAACAAATTTTGGTTATAAATTTATTAAATATTTGAGACATAATTGCACTATTTTTGATAACAAGGCAAGGTTGCTGAAATTTACGTGTTGAGTTTTAAACATGTCCCAAGGGGTAAACCATTGAATAATGTGCAAAAGAAGCACGTGTTTCAAGTTGATAATAAAGATTTAAAGCTCACCTCTCCAAGGAATTATTGATTTGTAAACAAAGAAAAAAAGATTCTGAGCAGATCTTAGAAGTTTTTTAAATTCCAGATTTTGTTTAAGATACTTTATATTTTTTCTAAGTTTATAATAATAATAAAAAAAGTTTAGTATACAAAATTAAAAATTCGAAACCTCGAACCAAACCTTCCAACCTTCGCACTTTCGAGTAAACTTAAAAATTCTTTTAATGTTATGTTTTTGTATTAGACCAAGCTCATACCTAATAGAAATTATCCTCTTCGTGTTTTTACTTTCGAGCTTCTCCTCAAAGTTAATGTTTCGTTCTTTCTCCCCAACTGATATGAAATCTCACAATTCATTCAGATCCAACTTCCTCACTAACACTTGTTTCTTTCTCCAATTGATGTGAGACTCTATAAATTCATCCCATTTGGGCCCAACATCTTTACTACTAACACACTGCCTTGTATCCACCCTTTTGAGGCCCAACCTCCTTGTTGGCACATCGTCTGCTGTCTAGCTCTAATACCATTTTTAACCGTTCAAGCCCACCACTAGTAGATATTGCCTTTTTCGAACTTTTCCTCAAGATTTTTAAAATGTGTCTTTCCCATACCCTTATAAAAAATGATTCGTTTTACTCTCCAACTGATGTGAAATCTCATTGTTTTCAACAGGTTTTCAAGTAACACGATGTAGGAAAAGTTCTGAATCCAAATTATTAGGAAAGAAATATTTATTTCTCTAAAGAATTGTTCTTCCAAATGGTTGAATGGGCCCGTATGAGCAACCCGTTAGAAATTCTGCTCTGGCATTGTACTGCTATTTTGTGAAGTCATGGTTAAGAATCAGACTCTCCACAATGGTATGATATTGTCTGCTTTCATGGCTTTACTTTAGCCGTCCACCTATAGTATTCTTCATCTATAAACTTACTCTCAATAATCCTCAACCAATATTACAACTACATTTATAGGGTGGTTTATATATTTTAGGGTATATAAGTGGTGGAAGTTAATCAATATTAGATGTTCATGAACCGCAAGAAGGAAAAATAAACAAAAACAAAGAAATTGCATCCTATTTCTTCAGTGTTATCCTAAAAAAATGGCTTCAAAACTACCAAAAGAAAGAAGAAAGAACCTTAAAGCCAGCGAATTGATCTGCCCTTTTGGCCACCAAATGTCACCTCACTAGCTTCCATCTCACAATCTACAATGAGAATATTTTTAACGAAGTTTTGAGCTTAAATTTCATTTTCATGTGAGCAAGCGATTGATATTACTTACGTGAACATTTGAGGGCGACGAGAGAGCTGTGGTCGTTTGATTGGGGACAAAATGAAGTTGCGTAGAGAAATGGAGGGGTTGCCAGCTCCACTTCCAGACGCAGAGAGTGAGCTCCAGCTCTTCTGATCCCAGCTTCCATTGCCATTGGAGCAGCTTGTTGTGCCGGTGATCCAACGGAGATGTCGAAGTGACTAGAGTTCCCACTGTTTTGTCTTGCCGGCCATATTTCTTCTCTTGGCCCTAGAGTTTCAGGAGCGGAAACCAGCCAGTCTGCAAGAAATAAGTCAACTTGTTTTGGAAAAATACTCAAAACGGAGAAGCATGATTTGGATTTATTTGTGTCGAGGATGGTCGGGAGGAAATCCACCTTAGTTAATTAAGGGGTTGATTATAGGTTTATAAGTAAAGAATATATTTCCATTGGTATGAGGAATTTTTGGGAAGCCAAAAGCAAAGTCACAAGAGCTCATGTTCAAAGTGAACAATATCATACCATTGTGGAGGGTCATGATTCCTAACATGGTATCAAAAGCATGCCTTAACTTAGTCATGTTAATAGAATTCTCAAATGTCGAACAAAGAAGTTGAGACCCTCGAAAGTGTAGTCAAAAGTGACTCAAGTGTCAAATAAAGAGTGTATTTTGTTTGAAGGCTCCCGAGAAAGAGTCGAACTTCGATTAAGGGGAGGCTGTTCGAGGACTCCATAGGCCTCAGAAGAGGCTCTATAGTGTATTTTGTTCGAAGAGAGGATTGTTGAGAGAGAGTCCCACATTGACTAATTAAGGGGTTGATCATGAGTTTATAAATAAGGAATATATCTCCATTGATATGAGGCCTTTTGAGAAGCCAAAAGCAAAGCCACGAGAGCTCATGCTCAAAGTGGACAATATCATACCATTGTGGAGGGTCGTGATTCCTAACATGATATCAGAAGCATGCCCTTAACTTAGCCATGTTAATAGAATCCTCAAATGTCGAACAAAGAAGTTGAGACCCTCGAAAGTGTAGTCAAAAGTGACTGAAGTGTCTAACAAAGAACTCTTTGTTTGAAGGCTCCCAAGAAAGAGTCGAGCCTCGATTAAGGGGAGGCTGTCTGAGGACTTTATAGACCTCAGAAGAGGCTCTATAATGTATTTTGTTCGATGAGAGAATTGTTGAGAGAGAGTCCCACAATGACCAATTAAGGGGTTGTTCATGAGTTTATAAGTAAAGAATATATCTCCATTGATATGAGGTCTTTTGGGGAAGCCAAAAGCAAAGCCATCATTACCACCGTGGAGGGTCGTGAATCCTAACCATCTGATCTCTTCTCAATTCAACTCAACAATATCCATTGTGGAAAGGTTTCCTTATTTAAAATTAGAAAGGGAAAAAGCTTACCTTTCCTCGTGGTTTCTCTGTTATCCATCATATTAACAGGGTTTAAGAACAAATCAGGCTCGTTTCTTGTATAAAATTGCTCACGGGCTGGATCGCCGAACGTTTTAATGATTCATGTTCATGTTTCAATTGATCATACATTTCATCTAGTTTTCTCTTCTGCCTAACATGCAATTGAATTTTCTGGATCAGGATCTTAAAAACAGAAGTTAACAAGTGGGAGGCAAAAATGAAAGGAGATGACCTGGAGTTATCAGCAAACTTCTCCTGTAGCTCTTGTTTGTCTTTGGATAAATTCTCCATTTCTCGCTCCATCATCTGGCATCTTTTGGCCATTTTTTGGTATGCAGCATGCACCTGCTCCAGTTTCTCGGTGAACTTTTCTTGTATAACCTCACATTTCTGTCGGCATTGAGCCACGATTCTGTTCATCTTGTACTGCATCTCCAGTTCCTTTTGTCCAATATAGAACATTACACTTCTATATGCACTTTTCATCACTTGGACCAATCAAGGAAAATTAGCAACATTCATATTGTTACCAAAAACAAATCTCTTTAGAGATACTATCCATTTTGACCTGTTACGTATTGTCGTCAACTTCACGGTTTTAAAATACGTCTGTTAGGGAGAGGTTTCACACCCTATAAGAAATACTTCATTTCCTCTCCAACGAAGGTGAGATCTCACAATTACCTCCTTAGTCGCTGGAATAAATGGAAAGGAAGTATTTTATAGAACTTCGAGATTAATTTATCATTAATTATTATAATTTTGGATCATTAATGATCATTATTCATTCTTAAGGATACATATCTGAGGAGATATACCGGCCAACCACCTGCAATATTTTGTGCAGTGAGTGCCAGCATTAAAGTAATACACAAGGAAAAGGTTGAGAAACGCTAGAAGAGTCTAAACGACTTGACCAAGCTAAATACAATCCTTTTAAGGAAACACTTACATTGACCCATTCATCGTTTGGATTGATATCCACAGGTTTCATGAGGCTGCCAAACAGAAACCGTACGTAAGAGAAAATTAAACCATGTGATCAATGAATCAGTAAACCCGTGGAAAAATAGTTGTCTAAATGGCGATAATACAATTTTCTAAGAAGTTGATATGAAGGATTGATCTGCTGATGGGTCCTCTAAGACATTTCTTACATACTCGTTATCCATTTTTTCTTCAATTGTGCACTGGGAACTAATGCAAACCTTGTTTAAAGAGTACGAAACTTCAGCATTGCTGAGACTTGAAAGCGTCATAATAACAAAGCCTTTACCTTTTAGAAAGAACTTGATCACGAATGGGGCATGCTCCATCATTGGTAAGGATCTTGCTTGCATCTTCTATGCCTTTACACCGTTAAGGAACAATTTATCCAACAAGACCTCTTACATGTACTACTAATAATAGGTCACATATTTCACAAAATTAAACAATAGAAAATGAAATTTTTTACGATCTTAGGATACACAACAGGTGACCACAAGTTGTGGAGATAGCTCGCCCTTCAAGTTCCCTCCAGCAAGCATTGCATTTCATAATGAACCTTCAGAAGTAACCTCTAATTCCATGGCTAAGGAAATCGTAGACCCTGTAATGAAAATTTTAACCATGTAAAAGATGCCGAAGTACTTGAAATATTGCAGTGACAGTTGTTTTAGTTATTCAGTTCCCTCTCCTCAGTCGATCAAAAATTGAAAGAAAAAAACATCAGCGATCCAAGCTTTCATTGTTCACTGTGAGTCAGAAATCAAATAAAAATCAGACCACCATCAATAATTTTGAAGACTGCAAATTATGCATGATGTTTATAAATGTGAATACCAGAAGCACTTTTCATAGTAAGAGGATATCAGTGGATGGCTACCACTAAATGCTTCCACCCTATCCACAAAGACAAAGTTCTACTTGCTATAAGAAATCTAGTGGTTTTATCTTAACACGAATCACTAACATCGAAGTGATAGATATAATGATACTTCAATTTTCTCATACCGAACTGCAACAAATTTTCTCATTTAGTCCAAAAAATTCTGCGAACAGCAGTTCTTTACAGGTTCTACAGCCATGTATAAAAGGACAGAAATTCCTCGTGAATGGAAGTAATAGAACCAGTAACATCCTGAACTGATTTTGACGAAAACAATGTTAGGAACCTGGACCTCCACAATGGAATGATGTTGTATACTTTAAGCATAAGCTCTCAAAGTTTTTCTTTTGGTTTCCCCAAAAGGTTGTCTCGTACCAATAGAGATGTATTCCTTACTTATAACCCTATGATCCTTCCTTAAATTAACCAATGTGGGACTCTCTCCCAACAATCTTCAACAATCCTCTCTTCGAACGAAGTATAACATAGATCCTCCCATGAGACCTATGGAGTCCTTGAATAGCCTCCCCTTAATCGAGACTCGACTCCTTCTTTGGAGCCCTTGAACAAAATACACTCTTTCTTCGACACCTAAGTCATTTTTTTACTACACCTTCGAGGCTCACAAGTTATTTGTTCGGCATTTGAGGATTTTATTGTCATGGCTAAGTTAAGGGCATGACTCTGATACATGTTAGGAACCGTAGACCTCCACAATAGTATGATATTGTCAGCATAAGCTATCGTGGCTTTTCTTTTAATTTCCTCAAAAGGTTTCGTACTAATGGAGATGTATTTTTTATAAATCCATGATCATCCCTTAAATTAGCCAAGGTAGAGTTCCCTCCTAACAATTTGTTGAACAAACAAGTAGGCATAATTTAACTAGGATATTATTGTTTTAGGATGCTCATGGGCAGGAGGATAAGCCGAGCTATTTGCGATGAAAAATGAGATGGCAGCCAAAGAACTTGAATGCAACAGCTGTACTTGTTCCCAACATAATTCCATTATTCTCGGCGTACATTATATAAATCGAAAATTCCAGTCCACACAAAAAGATAGATCGGAGTCAGAACTAGCGAATTGAAAAAAAAACAGTTTTCTTTATTAACATGAAGAGAGCGGACAAACCATTTGCAATTGCCGGAAATGCAAGGCCCACTAAATTCACAAAAATCCTTCATAGCTTCAATTAGAAGACAAAATAAAGCCTGTGATTCTACCTCGTGTTCTGTAGTTCAAGTAATAAATGGTGCTAATGTAGTGGGGACAAGATACGAGTAAACTAAAAATGTTTAATCAATCAAACAAAAAATCAACGGGGAAGCTATCAGGTTTAATCGATAGTTCCAAGCTTTGCTTTCTATCTCCACTTATTTTCCCAAATATATTGGGGAAATGGTAGAAATCCCGAATATCACGAGGGAAACTGGAACAACAATAATTTCCAGATTTCGAGCTAATAAGCTAACAAACAACAACTAACCTGCAGATCTGGATGAAAGTGAATCAAATGCAGCCGAAAAGAAAATGGAACTTAGAAACAAGAAATATCATTTCACTCGAAATCAAGTCGGAACTTGGAAAATGCTCTCTGATCACACAATAACTACTTGAAATAAAATTGCAGTGAGATTCAAAGTAGAAGAGATTATACCTCGAAATCCTCGGAAACAAATACGGTCCCGATCTTCAGCCTTCTCCCGTGTTCAATTAGAAATGCGAATCTGAACAATCATAGAGCATAAACGCTTGAAAATACTGAAGAAAAGAGAAATCAAAAATCTCCGGTCGATGAATAGAAGATCGAATTTGGCGGGAAATGTTCTTCGGTGTTGCTATTTTCTGTTACTCTTGCGCAAATAAAAAAAAATTTTAAAAAAAAAATCCCACTTTGAGGTATGGAGTTTCATGTATTAGCCAATTAGAGAGTGTTAGACCATTACCTCCACGTGACATTGCTCGGTTGGACTTTTACGTTAGCGCATAAGGAGTTCGGCCCTCCATATGTGGAAACCAATCGGGGCATGAAGTTAGTTGAGAATTCTTCTTCAAGTCCCGTCACGATCGCACACTCGATGAAATAACTTCACGACCAACGTTGCCCTTTGAAATTGCGTGGGACTATAAATCACACGAAAAGGGTGGAAAAGAGACGGGACAACTACCTTGAGGCCCTACCATTCACACTTTCACTCGCTCTTGAGTTCTTCATCAGTAATGAAAAATGATTCTGATGAGGAACGAGTACAGCCGAGTAAATGTCTTAACGAGTTAAGTTGCTCTTAAGTGAACGAGTCACTAGGTTCACTCAATTCAGGAAACATTATGTAACGTTTGAGTAAATAAGAGATATATGGATGAACCGATACCACGTTCGAACGAGACCAATCCCGAAAATATAAAGATTTTAAAAAAACTTAAAAAAATTGAAGTAGAAGAACGTCCAGACCCTCCGGTATGAAATTTGAAATCTAATTATCGGTTAAATATATATATAATAAATTATTAAAAAAAAGAAAGATAAGAAAATGAACATGAATTAAATGAGTATGAAATTAATTAATGAACTAATTAATTGTAAGAATATTTGGAGAAGATTATATGATGAAGGAGGAGACGACATGTCGTAGTGGGGGTGAAGGAGTACGACAGGAGATCAGAGGTGAAACGTGGACAAAAATGGAGGAAGGAATTGATATCAAAATATCAGTACTGAGTTCACACTTCGAATCACAAATCAAATCCCCTTCTTAAACCTCTCTCAACTTGATCCACTTGATCCCCAAGGAACCTTATTCCTTCTCCATTGTTCTTCCGACAAATTTTCTTTCAAATTCCGAGGGATTTTTCAGAGCTTGAAGGGGCTGTGATTCTCCTCAAACTAGGTAGGAGGGGAAGTTGTTCTTCTTTTTTTTCTTGTTTTCTGGGCTTTTTCGACGGGGATTCAGTGATGATGAATAGGTTTTAGAGGATTCGAGAGAAAGTGAGATTTTCTTCGGTGAAAGAGTATGAAGATTCAGTGCAACGTCTGCGAGATGGCTGAGGCCACCGTTCTGTGTTGTGCTGATGAGGCGGCGCTGTGCTGGGCTTGCGATGAGAAGATTCATGCGGCCAACAAGCTTGCAAGCAAGCACCAGAGAGTTCCTCTCTCTGATTCTTCGTCTCAGATGCCCAAATGCGACATCTGCCAGGTATGTGCTGTAATTAGCTACTCTCTGTTACAAGCAAGCACCAGGGAGATGTGATGTGGAATCAACCTTTTGTGTTCATACTTAGTGGAGATTAAAGCTTCTATGATAATTTTTTTATTGTGTTACCATGAAATGAGTTCCATAGGCTGAAATAGAATGATTTCATATCCACCCAAGATAAAAGATCAAGGAATACTTGAATCTGTTGCCAAATCTCACGAGCTTCACCATGTTTTTCTTTAAAATTTCTTCTAGATTTCTGTTTCCAGATCTACTGACAAAGGAAAGAAAAGTAGGTTCCATCTCGAGATGTAGCTGTGGGCAGTTTTAGAAGTTTGAAATGCTGGCAGATAGATTTTGAATAGTTGTACAGGCGATAAATGTTTTCTAATCTAGTAAAACAGGAAAGAGTGCCTGATATTTAGATCAGTGAGTATATGGGGAAGAGATTATGATAAGTGAATTAGCCTGCAGAAAAAACCAAGATATGGATTGATGGTATGTGCAATTGGTGATGCTGTCATGTGTAGCATGCCGGCTTTAGTAAGTGATGATTATTAGTGTGTAGCAGCCCAAGTCTACCACTAGCAGAAATTGTCTTCTTTGGACTTTCTCTTTCAGATTTCCCTCAAGGTTTTCAAAATGCGTGTAAGGAGAGGTTTCCACACCCTTATAAGAAATGCTTCGTTCCCCTCTCCAATCGATGTGGGATCTCACAATCCACCCCCTTAGGGGCCAAACGTCCTCACTGGCACATCACCTAATGTCTGGCTTTGATACCATTTGTAACAGCCTAAGCTCACCACTAGCAGATATTGTCCTCTTTGTGTTCCCTTTCTGTCTTCCCCTCAAGATTTTTAAAACGGCGTCTGCTAGCGAGAGGTTTCACACTCTTATAAGAAATATTTCGTTCCCCTCTCCCACCACTAGCAGATATTGTCCTCTTTGGGTTTTTCCTTTCGGGCTTCCCCTCAAGGTTTTTAAAACGCATTTGTTAGCAAGAGGTTTCCATACCCTTATAAAGAATGTTTTGTTCCCCTCTCCAATCAATGGGGATTTTAAGAAACAGGCATAACCCATCTTATCTATCTTGTGCATGCTTTCGTAGTATATTGTTATGCGTTGTTGGGAGAATGTCAGCCGATGGCGAGTTTCCTTTCTTTTCTTTTTTTTCAATACCCTTTATCAGTTGAGACTGTTACCCTTTCTTAATCATCTGTGATTTCTTGCAGGAAGCTAGTGGCTATATCTTTTGTTTAGAGGATCGAGCATTACTTTGCAGAAAGTGTGATGTTGCTATACACACAGCAAATACTTATGTAACTGGTCATCAGCGCTTTCTGCTTACTGGGGTGAAAGTGGCGCTTGAGCCAACTGATCCTGTTCCTTGTTCTTCCATGCCTAAGTCACATTCTCAAGTGAAACCTACTGAGACAAAAGTTAGACCTCTGTCTGAAAGGGAATTCTCGTTGCCTTCTCCTGGTGAACTCAGCAGATGCCTGTCTGTACAAGGTGGATCTGAGGACTTCATGGCAAATGGAACGTTCCATACCGGAGATACTGTTTCTGGTGGCTTTTCACAATGGCAAATGGATGACCTTATTAATCTGACTGGATTCAATCAGAACTATGGGTTTTTGGATAACGGATCATCCAAGGTATGGTCATGGTTTTCTAATGCAATAAATTCAAAATAATGACAACCCCATTAATTGTTTATGATTACAGAATAATGACCGTTCATAGAAGTTGATAATGCTTGTTGCTTCTGGGATTTAAAGATCTTTCTATTGCTAGGATGCCTCTCACGTAGCAAACCTCTTTTATAAGTAAACGTATAGTGTAGCCTGGATACTTTCTCCTTAACGGTGTAATTATAACCGTTCAAGTCCACCACTAGTAGATATTGTCTACTTTAGCCCGTTACGTATGTCAGCCTCATGGTTTTAAAACGCATCTACTAGGGAGAAGTTTTCACCCTCTGGTAAGAAATGTTTTGTTCTCCTCTCCAACCGACATGGGATCTCATAATTCACCCCAGCGTTCTCGTTGGCACACTGGCTCCGATATCATTTGTTGTCCAAACTCACCACTAGTAGATATTGTCCGCTTTAGCCCGTTACGTATTGCTGTCACCTCACGGTTTTGAAATGCCTCTATTAGGGAGAAGTTTCCACACCCTTAAAAAAAGAAATGTTTCATTTTCCTTTCCAACTGATATGAGATCTCAGTAATCATATCTTTTGTATAGGGATATTCTACCTAAGTAATCATATCTTTTGTTTAGGGATATTCTACCCAAGTAATTAATTGATGACCTATAAGATGTAACTTTTGTAGGACGTTTGTACATTGTTATGGGTTGTGGCCAAGTACTGCTAATCCTGATGCAATAACTTTCTGCTTTTCTTTATTGGTGACATATAGCAGGCTGATAGCGGCAAGCTCGGGGATTCTGATTCATCTCCAGTTTTAAGGGCTGCTGACATTGAGCTAGACGACAACGATGAATGCTCGGGTCAGGTTCCAGAGGCTTCCTGGACTGTGCCTCAGATTCCCTCCCCTCCCACAGCATCTGGCTTATACTGGCCAAGAAGTTACCATAATTCTATGGATGGTGCTGTTTTTGTTCCTGACATTTCCTGTTCTTCCGAAAAGGTTCAACATTGCTCATTTAATGGTAGATTCTTGAAACGAAGGAGGCAGTTCTAGACGTCCAAGCTCGATCATAGGGACTTCAATGCAAGTGTTCTGAACCTCGCTAGGTTTGCTGTGTGTTTATAGCTTTCATTTACAGTCGAATTATAATAAGTGGACACGATCAAAGATTATCGCTTGAAACGTATACCTTGTAACGTAACCACTATAGTTTAGGATTTGTTACATTGATGTAGAAATAAAACCTGCGCCATTAGTTGACCTTGTAGGTATTTTTTTTCAGATTTATTTCAAACATCTTGTGGAAATGATCGTTTCAAATCACCTTGACCTACTTGATTGATTATTGTAGTTTTACAAAAAGATTATGAAGAATCAATGTCATGTCTTAGCCATTTTTAGTTCAGTACCTCTTCTTTCTTTGTGAATTTGTTCTAAACTCCTCTTCCTGAATGTGTAATTGAAATCTTTCTCTACTACTTCAACTACTTCCACTGCTTCAACTGAGAGCATATTATTTCTTCCCGGATGACTTTGTTTCAAGCTAGGAGTGTTAGGTTATGGAGCTGACTGCTTTTTATAGTTTAGTCAACGGTTATACATAATAAAACTATATAGGTTAGATGACATATAAAGCAAATATAGCTATAGTAAAAAGCTAGTAAAGCTATATGTAGTAGATAAGCTAGTAAAACTATATATGATAGATAGTTATATAAAGTAGATGGTTATATCTGGTAAAACTATATATATAGTAAGTTGAACCATATATATATCCCGAGCTTTGAAAATGTGATTCTCTGTATTCTCTAAAATATACTTTCTGTATTCTCTCTTACTGTATCTAGATCGAGTGTGTGCATTGTTGTGCGATCCTAACAAGGAGATGAAGACTTTGATATATCCCCCAAGATCATAGTATGATTCTTATTCCTTTATGTGGGCCTTTTCAGCAAATTTGGTGTATATTGATCATTTTTGCATGGTGGCGATAATTGGTTTGGTTAGAAAAGAGCATAAGCTAATGGTTTTACTTTTAGTTTTTCTAAAACGCTTTGTGATACTAGAGATGATGTTTTTTACTTATATACTCATGATCTTCTCTTTAGTTAACGGACGTGGGACTACTAATCATCATCAACGGATATGTCTAAGTGTTCGTTCTGTTTGTTTGTTTATTTATTTTGTTGAGTTCTAACTTATGATGTTAGCTTTGGGTATAGGGCCTTATCGAACTGCTTTTATTTCATTTGATTACTCGTGCTTATTTAAAAGTTTTTGTTGTTTTTATGATCTGGGTCCATTATTCACTCAATGGAATCGGTGGTTGGATATTCTCTTTATAAATGTCAGAATATGGTTCTTACAGGGGGGTTAACAAAGCATATGCTAATGGCTGTAGGCCCCCGAAAATCATAAAAACGGCCGGTGTAAAAATAAACATTGAAGAGAAATTTCAAGAGAAATAAATAATTCAATGATTTGATCAAAAAATACTATTATGGTTCAAGAGAAAATAAGAGTATCGACTCGAAGCAGACACTAAGCGTCTTTGTTATGTATGCTCTTTACATTCTGTCTCCAGCTCAAAACTAAACTTTTATATATTTATTTTTTTAAGAGTTGAAAGACTTCGGTATATTATTTAAATTTGATATTTTAGAAATTATATATTATATTTTTAATTATGAAATATTATTAGAATTATTATAATATTTTATATTCCATTAATAGATATTATACTGAAAAATTAAAATTATACATTAAATTTTAAAAAATCAATCCCTACCGAAAAATAAATAAAATTGGGGATAGAAATTAAATTAGGTGGCAAGGACAAGACTGAGATGGGACGAGAATGGCCCGTACCCGTCCCCTATGAGATCATGCATCGGGGAACAAAGAAGGATGAGATGAGGATCACCCGTACCCGTACCCGTCCTCTGTGAGATCCCACATTCGTTGGAGAAGAGAACAAAGAAGGATGAGACATGAATGGCCCGTACCTGTCCCCTATGAGATCATGCATCGGTTGGAGTGAGGAATAAAGAAGGATTGGACGAGAATGACCCTTACCCGTCCCCTATGAGATCTTGCATCAGTTGGAGCAGAAAACAAAGAAGGATGGGACGAGGATGGTCCGTACCCATCCACTACAAAATCCTGCATTAATTGGAGAGGAAAGAACTGAATTGCCCATACCTGTGAATATATTTTATTCATCTTATGAAATTATTGATGGATAGAACCCTAAAATTTGAGAACAAGAATTTGGGAATTTGTCATCTTTGTATTTCCTTTTGATTGTAGCCTGCTTTGGCTTCCTTCAAGATTAGCTCCAACATCTTCTCATACATAGCGATGGCAGATTCCAGCAACTCAATGGCTCTTCTCACGTCGCTTCCGCCCGCCGCCACCGCGCCTTGCATCTCAGCTGTTTGATTTATCAATAACCCCAACATGGGACTGGGTAATCTAGAGCTCTCACTTTTCATTGCTCTTCCATGGCTGCCCCTTCTGACATTTCGTTCTTTTTCATGCCTTTTTTCTGTGGCAATCACCAAATCGCTTATGCTTCCCATCTCATTTTCGAGGGTCATTATCACCTGCCCCTTGTTCACTTGCCAGACCCAGATGTTCCCATCTTCTGCTGCAGATATTAAGTTATTTCCTTCGTTGATTATGACTATAGATACAACTGCAGCGTCGTGCTTTGGCGACCATGAAATTAGTTCAGAGCTTGTGCCCATAAGGTGTTTGTTTTTATGCCTCAATGAGCACCTGTACGCCAAGTTGTCGGATGCTGGTGGAGTTAGTTCAGAATCTGTGCTTATAAGGTGTTTGATGTTATGTCTCAATGAGCCCTTGTACACCAACCCATCAGATCCTGCAGCGAAAAACTCTGTTTCTGATGGATCTAAGACCACACTGAAAATGGCACAAGGGAACACCACGGTGTGCAAGACTGTTCCTGAGAGCAAGCTCCAGAACTTGCATCTGCCATCCATTGAGCTTGAGACTATTTGGGAACTGGACATCCCCATGACAGAGTAAATGGAAGTCACTGAATCATTATGTGCTGAAAACTGATGTAGAATGTGTTTGGTTGCATTTTCCTGTGGTTTGGCTTGAACAAGTTGAAAGATTGGGATGACAACAATCGTGCCATCATCCCCACCTGATATGAGAAGTGACCCATCAGCGCTAAGTTCAAGGCAAGAAACTGATTTCCTGTGTGCGGGTAAAGAGTTGAGAACATCCCCAGATGGAAGAGAGAGCGTATGAATGCATCCTGAAAGGCCACCAGCAAACAGATAAAAACCATCAGGAGTGGCTGTGAGAGGAGCAACAGGTTCAGGTACAGTGATACTCTGGAAGGCAGATGAATTCCACCAATTATAAATGTGGATTGAACCCGAAGCAGTGATCGGGCAGATGTGGGAGACGGCGATGGAACTCCGCCCAGCTCGGGTGATACCACGGCGAGGCGAATGGCTATCGTTGAAACTGGCTAGAGGGGTGCCTGTGGAGGCATCATAGGCAACAATGGGGCCATCAGGAGAGCTGGCCAGGACAACTTCTTGTGGAGAAAATGGCATACTCATATGAAAGGTATGACAGTAAAGAACTTGATAAACACTAGGCGCAAGTTTTAGGCAGAAACTTAATGGTCATGGGCGCTGAAAACAATGCATTTATCTTCATAGTCTGCTTAGTTTGCCTTTTACAGTAATGATATTAAGTGGAATTCAACATTGGCTAGACTTGCTCAATATTCATGGGTATTGGTTAGGTTGTTTTGGCTTTATTAAAACTCTGGTATCTGTTTGTTTCCATGCAGTTATGGTTTATTCTTTTTTTATTCTCACCACTTTTTTTTCTCTTGGAAAAGAAAGCTGTAAACCAGCCCTAAAACGCCATATCACCAACCAAAAAATTAGAGTTCGGAAGTTCGACCCTTTTATTTCGTTGAGCTAAGGGAAGAAAATATATAAACTTAAACATTAACATTGCTTGAAGGTAGAGGTCCATCCCCTATCACCTTCGGTGCCTCCTTGTGGTCCTTATTGCTTGATGGTAGAGGTCAATCCCCTATTACCTTCCGTGCCTCCTTGTGGTCCTTCTCTTAAGCTTTTCTTCGGTCTTTAGAGTTAGAGCTAATTAATAGCCACCTCATCTAATGCATTGAGATTGAACCTTGGATTTCGAACCTCAAACCCTATCAAACAAGGGATTCTTTGTTGGATTTGTTCAGGCCATTGCAAACAAACAATTGGTAGAACTCACAAGCCCGTTACACTAAGACCCCAAGAATTCAAGGAAAGGATCTCCGAATATTGGGATGAATATGGCATAAACAAATAAAATTATGATAGAAATAATATTGGTAAACTTAATTTTTAAAATTTAAAAAGAAAATTAATGATTCACTTGATAATTATCAAATAAAATTATGATAAAATAATATTTAATAATTTTTTTAAAAAATCAACAAATCCAAGAATTTGTATTTAAAGGGTCGGTGAGTTTTAAAAAACACTGAATAAATCAATAACAACGCAATTAAAAGTTTAAAATTTATTTAATATAAAATTGAATATGGTGCACATATTCCATTTCCTACAAAGTGATATTAGAGGTCAAAGCATTGAATCGTCGTAACGATTCCGAGGGGAGGCTTTGGTCGTCTCGTCCATCCGTTGCAGCTTTCTATCAAGGGAGAACACCACCTGATCACTTGAGAAGGTGAGAGAGCTCCATCCGAGTATGAATGTGTCAGTGACCAAGTATGAGTTGCTGCATCGAGATAGCTAAAATGCTGCCTATGGATATGTTGATGACATTAACTACATCATTGTTGAGCTGCAAATAGAATATGAAAGAATCAGATCGAAGAAGTATGACCAGAACATAATGGAAACCGGAAACATATCAGTTGACCGAGAAGGGAGGGGAAGGAGTTTCTGTTAGTAAACTCGCACCTCCATAATGGTATAATATTGTCCAATTTAAGCATAAACACTCGTGGTTTTGCTTTTGGTTTTTCCAAAAGGCCTCGTACCAATGAAGATAGTATTCCTTACTTATAAACTAATGATCTTTCGAGACTCCTCTCTCAACGATTCTCAACAATCCTCCTCTCGAATAAAGTACACCATATCGCCTCCCCTAAGGCCTATGGAGCCCTTGAATAGCCTCCTCTTCAAGGCTCGACTTCGACTTCTTCTCTAGAGCCCTCGAACAAAGTACACTTTTTTCTACACTTTAGTCACCTTTGGCTACACCTTCGAGACTCACAACTTTTTTGTTCGACACTTGAGGATTCTATTGTCATGACTAAGTTAAGGGTATGACTCTGATACCATGTTAGAAACCACAAATTTTTCCAATGGTATGATATTGTCCACTTTGAGCATAAACTCTTGTGACTTTGCCTAAAAGACCTCATACCAATGAGCAAACCCATTGTTCGTGATGACCCGACCAAGCCAACATTACATGAGAGCAGGCAATAACAGAAGAACAGTTCAACTCATAATCAAACTAAGGCAATCAGAGATCACAAACTTCACTTGCTTACCCACTGAAATCCCTCCTTCTCTTGAAGAACAGCACCAATGATGCTTTCACCAAGATTAGCAATCTGTGAAGCTATGACGCATACAATTGCTCCAGATGCAGTTGCCTGCATCAACGTCGACAAAGATTTGATCTAAAAACCTTGTTAAAGAATGAGCATATGAAACGAGTAGGGAAGGATTGAAATAATTACATCGCCCAAAAGACAGCCAACAAATGCAAGAACACTTGCTGCTAAGAGTCCAGCAAAGGTTCCCTCCAGACTGACAGCCCCTTCTGTTCCCCGAGGAACTATCCTAAATGTTGTCACCAGGTACCTGATTTGAAATGAATCATCGTGTTCATCCAAGGAATTGAAAAACATAAACTATACTTGAGTTTCTAAAAACTTTGTTAAATAACGAGATCTCTTGATCTAAATTATCTAAGAACTCCAAAAACGATAAGGAATCAACCCAAGTGAAAGTTTTGGAACGTATTACCTTGATGATCAAGATCAAGAGTAAAGAAACTTCGTGATTTGATAAGATAGCTTGATCAAGACTACTTGAATAACTCTATTGGCTTAAGAAGCATAATATGCATCTTTCATTATAATATCCAAAATCTTCATACTAAAACAATAACATGAATGATTAAGACACCTGATTCGTATCAAAATTATTTGAAAATTCTCCTGAAAACTACGAACTCTGAGAAAAATGATGATTAGAATATAAAATGTGTGCTTGATCCAGTTCGAGCAGGAATGGATTACTTACGTTATCCGACCATATGCCTTCCCTATTTCGCTTGAGACAGTATCACTCAATTTAGTACAGAAACTGGCAACAAAACCAAGTCGCCAAAGTTGTCGGAATGCTTCTCCTCCAATGTTGTTTATCATAAGCAAAGCACACACACAACCAGCAGCACTGGATCCTATAACACTACCAAGTCCTCTTCTTCCTTGTCTCTTTTCAGCTACCCCTTGTGCTTCCTTTTGAGCCATCTTGACCTTTGTTGCAGCTGTTCCCTGGGAAACAGAATTTCAGCAGGAGGGTTATTAGCGTTGCTGAAAGAGGCAGTTCTGTAGCTTTGTACTGGAATAAATACTTTCTCAAGCACAGAAGAAAACAAGATTAGGAAAATTTTGATAGTTTATCTGTAATGGCCCAAGCCCACCGCTAGTAGATATTATCTTCTTCGGGCTTCTCCTCAAGGTTTTTAAAACGCGTCTCCTAGGGAGAGGTTTCCACACCCTTATAAAGAATGTTTCGTTCTCATCTCCAACCGATGTGGGATCTCACAATCCACCCCTCTCCGGGACCCAACGTCTTCATTGGCACTCATTTCCTTCTCCAATTGATGTGGGACCCCCCAATCCAGCCCCTTCAGGTCCTAGTGTCCTTACTGGCACACCGCCTCATGTCCACCCCCTTTGGGGCTCAGCCTCCTCACTGGCGCATCGCTCGATGTCTGGCTCTGATACCGTTTGTAACAACTCAAGTCCACTACTAACAGATATTGTCCTCTTTGGACTTTCTCTTTCAGGCTTCCCCTCAAAGTTTTTAAAATGCGTCTGCTAGGGAGAGGTTTCCACACCCTTATAAAGAGTACTTCATTCTCCTCCCCAACCGATATGGGATCTAACAATCCACTCCCCTTCGGGGCCCAGCGTCCTCGCTTGCACACGTTCCCTTCTCCAATCGATGTGGGCTCCCCAATCCACCTTCATTTGGAGCTCAGCTTCCTTGCTGACACATCGCCTCTTGTCTAGCTCTAATACCATTTGTAACAGCTCAAGTCTACCGCTAGTAGATATTGTCCTCTTCGGGCTTTCCCTTTCAGGCTTCCCCTCAAGGTTGTTAAACGCATCTGCTAGGGAGAGGTTTCCACACCCTTATAAAGAATGTTTCATTCTCCTCCCCAACCGATGTGGGATCTCACATCATCTCAATCTCAATCTCAGTCAAGGATAAATCATGGTTTGAGAGAAGCCCTTTGAAGAAGGTGAACATTTTAAGAGAAATAACAATCAGTAAGTCTTCAACTTGACAATGAACCTCAGAGCTGTGCATACAGTACTTGGAGAATCAATTCACGTCTGTAAAACAATCTAAGTATTCCATAACAATAATCTGAAGCAGAAACAATCCAAACCCCCTATGATTTAACACCATTTGTCTTTAATTGATCATCTAAACAGATGGGTGCAAGCATACTAGAATTATTCAATCACAACAACAAAGAAGAACAATGAAGAACAACAATCAATCAATAAAACAGCCAATTCAAGCCATAAAAATGCTAGAGAACAACGAAACCCCACCAATCAATCAACCAATCAACGAAGCAAACACAAAACTCAAATGGAATTTCAGGAAAAAGGATCATAGACGAACAATGACGAAGTAGGTAGCAACAAGAAGGAAACCAGAAGGCCCAAAGGCACGCCATGTGAGAGTACCAAGCAAGAAAGCAGAAGCAATGCCCGAAACAGACAACCCCGAGGCCAGAATCGGCGAACCCACGACGAAAATCAGCAGGTTAGTGAGTAAGGCCGACTGCCACGTGGGGGGATTCGATTGGACGATGTTCACAGCACCCGATACAAGGCTCTGCAAGCTCTCGGCTCGAACCACCGTCTTGAGGGATCGGTTAGGGTTCGATTTGGCAAATAAGGGTTTTGGAGGGAGAGGAAGAGAGGAAAATTGGCGGAGTTTGGGAGAGGGAGTGGGAGAAAAACGAAGGGGAAAAGGGTGAGTTGAGGGCAGCAACGCCGTGGCCATTAAATACCGAAGAATCTGAGGAAGGAATCTTCTGCAGTGTATTGGTCGAGGAAGAACAAATTCTGAGCTCAAATTTGATTTTTGGAATTTATGAAAAAAAATGTAACAATTTCTTCTCCACCATTGTTGCGACCTGGGTCAATGGTCACGTGGAAGTAAAACTAAGTGATCTTTAAAAAGACTAATCTTATATATATACACATACCTATTTAATGTAGTTTTTTAATTATTTTATTTTTAGTATCCCCTCTTTGGGGCCCGCGCGGACGCTTTACGGACGTGGGACATCACAATTCACCCCTTTGGGGCCCCCAGCACATCTTGCGTCCTGAGCACACCGCCTCGTGTCTACAACCTTTCGGGAAATAGTGAGAAGGCTGACACATCATCTAGGGTCTGGCTCTGCACTCTTTCCTTCATCCAATTAATGTGGACTGCCACCAAATTCACCCCCCTTCGGGGCCCAACGTCCTTACTGGCACACCGTCTCGTGTCTACGCCTATTCGGGAAACAACGCTTTCCTTCATCCAATTAATGTGGGACCGCCACCAAATCCACCCCCTTCGGGGCCCAACGTCCTTACTGGCACACAACCTCGTGTCTATGCCCCTTCGGGAAATAGCGAGAAAGCTGGCACATCATTCGGTGTCTGGCTCTACACTCTTTCCTTCATCCAATCGATGTGGGATCGCTACCAAATCCATCCCCCTTCGGGTCCCAGCGTCCTTACTGGCACATTGTCTGGTGTCTAGCTTTAATATCACTTGTAACAGTCCAGATCTACAACGGGTTTGGTAGGGGTCAGCAAATATTGTCCTCTTTGAATTTTCCCACTTTAAAACAGGTCTGCTAGAGAAAGGTTTTCACACCCTTCTAAATTATGTTTTGTTTTTTTTTCCAACCAATGTGGACATCACTTAGGGTTTAGGGTATTAGGAAATTATTTTTAATTTATTACATTGTTAGTTTAAAACTATATTTAAGAAAATATTTCTGAAATCTTAATAAAAAATGGAAAAAAGGAGAAAAGTTTTACAAATTTATTCTAAAAACAAAATATAAAAGTGTTATTAATGAAAATATATTTATTTAACTAATTTTGTTAATATATATAAATAATTTAAATAATTGTAATAAGCGTCCTTTTTAAAGAGTGATAAGCCATCGGCAAAACCCTGTCTTTGTTTCAGCCCTCTCCCATGGCGACTCAGCTCTTCTCTCGCTCGTTCCCTAAAACCCTAATTTTGACGTCTATGTTCTCTCGTTCCTTTCTCACTGCCAACCGAGCCGCCATCTCCGCCTCTTCTTGCTCCTCTTCCTCCCTTCTGCGCTATCTCCGTCCCCTCACTGCTATAGTCGGCGCTGATTTCCGCAGCGTCTCTCCGGCGTCGAGCGTGAGGGAGTTTGCTACCCGTGCGACTTCTTCCTCTCTCAACGACCCGAATCCTAACTGGTCTAATCGCCCTCCCAAGGAGACTATATTGCTCGATGGTTGTGATTTTGAGCACTGGCTCGTTGTCATGGAGAAGCCAGAGGGGGATCCCACCAGGGATGAGATTATCGACAGCTATATCAAAACGCTTGCCATGGTTATCGGAAGGTGAAGTTTTGTTCTCGTCTATCGTTTTAGCTTCTTTTATTTTCCCCTAACATTGGCCTGCCCTAATGATCGTATTAAATCGTGTCTCTTTTGGTATTTTAGTGATTATAGTAAGATATCTAGAAGAGAATGGTGAATGCTTTAATTTTTCTGGCGCTGAATCAAAGTATGTAGAGAAGAATTTCCTCATGGGATTTGTCTTAGTTTTTCCAATGTTTGAGATGGTTATCACTCGACAAAATATGTTAAAATATATTTCGTAAGTATAACTGTTAGTCTCTAATAATGGTCACTGTCAATTCTTACAAAAATCATTATCAGTATCGACTGTTTATAAATATGCTCTGAAATTTTTATGGAAGATGGAATTTGAGAATTCTGAATGGAATTGTGGCTCACCACAGGTACTACTTTGTTCTATCGGCTTCTTTCACTAAAGGATAATTTTGCCGTATGTCGGTGTCTATTTGATAAATGGTATTTGAAATCATTCGGGTATTTGATTTTTACTGCATTTTCCTATTTGGCATCTTGTTGTTGCAGTGAGGAAGAAGCTAGGATGAAGATATACTCTGTTTCAACCAGATGCTACTTTGCATTTGGGTGCCTTGTTTCTGAAGAACTTTCTTACAAGATCAAAGGTGGCATACCTTTATGTCCTGTTTTATTTTATTTCGTTGTGTTGGCTATTTCTTTCTTTTGTATTGATTTTATGAGGTTGTGCCTTTTCCTCCTCAGAGCTGCCTAAGGTTCGTTGGGTCCTTCCTGATTCATACTTGGATGTTAAGAATAAAGATTATGGAGGTAATTCCTTTTCTTTTTAAGTATGCTAATGAACATTCTACTTCTTGTAGTGTCTAAGTTTTGTAAGTAGAAGTCGATAGTTCTAGTTGAGTATTCCTGGTCTGGAGGCAGAGTAACAGATGCTTGAATAGTTGAAGCTCTTGTATGATGGTGTAGGGTCCTGGCTTCTTCAGGTTTCATTCTTAAGATGTCTAAAAAGCTATAGTAATGTGTCAGAATGTAATGCACTCCTGGCGAACTGCATAAATGGAGTATTTCAACGAAAGCTCTTATCTTTAAGTTTCTTGTTCTTACACCGACAAACATAATCGAAAAGCTTGTATTTCTTGCAATCAATCTAGGGTCAATTGTAAAGCCAGTGTCTTTTTGTTGTAGTGTTTCGCTTTGGAGAATTTGATAAATGGTGTTGTGCTGGTTCACGTCTTGTGGCTAACACTATTTTGCTGTTTAGTATGGAGTTGTACAGAACTATTATCTGATTTTCTGCATCGTTTTTCCTTTGGCAGGGGAGCCTTTTATCAACGGACAAGCTGTTCCATATGACCCGAAGTACCACGAGGAATGGATTAGAAACAATGCTCGAGCGAATGAGAGGAATAAGCGCAACGATAGACCTCGTAATTTTGACAGGTCAAGAAACTTCGAGAGGAGGAGGGAAAACATGCAAAGTAGAGAATTTCCAAATGCTTCACCAAATCAACCTACTGGACCAAACATGAGTCCGCCAGCTCCAAGCAATATGCCTCCCAACAATTTTAACGCCGGTATGCCGCCTCAGAACCGTGGAGGAATGCCCCAAGGCAACTATGCAGGAGGACCACCACCGCCGCCACCAAACAACTTCAGCGGACCACCGCCGCCACCAAACAACTTCAGCGGACCACCGCCGCCACCAAACAACTTCAGTGGACCACCGCCGCCACCAAACAACTTCAGCGGACCGCCGCCACCACCACACAACTATGCGGGAGGACCACCACCACCGCCACCAAACAACTTTGGCGGACCGCCTCCGCCACCACTGAACAACTATGCTGGACAACCACCACGCAACTATGCACCACCACCACCACCGCACTCCGGGGCAGCACCACCACACAACTATGGAGGGCCACAGCCAAACAACTATTGGGGAGGTCCACCGCCAACAAACAACTACGGTGGACCTTCAAACTCCGGCGGGCCACCTCCACAAAACAGCTATGGAGGAGGAGGGCAGCCTAATGCTGGTGGATGGTCCAGTAATGTGCATAACAAGCAACACGAGTAAGTCCTTAACTGGTCAGGGAGTTCATTAGTTGTTTGGATTTATTGGCTTTGCTTGGTTCAAGCCTTAAATCCTTCTGGTCACTGAGTATTTGTTCTGGTGCTACGGACGATAGAGTTTTAGTTTTGCTTTCTGAGTAGGAATATGCTATAAAAACCCATTAGAAGTTCTAAATTCAAGTACTCTTTAAAAGATGCATGAAATTATGTAATTTTCATAATGTTTCCTTTGTTTATGAAGTGGGCAATGATATTTGTCTCTTTTGGCCATTTTTTTCATCAATGCTCATTGAATTTTTGCTATGACAAAAACGCAAACATTGTTCAAACCCGTCACAATTTACCGTATGTTGATATGCATTTGCATCTGAATGTGATATCGATTCATGATTTTTTTTTTTAATTTTTTTTATAATATACATATGTTTCTTTTTATTATTTTGTTTAATTTCTTTTATATTATTTTAAAATAACACATTTGTTTATTATATACTACAAATAATTAAATTGTTTTTAAATAATCATTTTCATATTTTATAATTTTTTTAAATATATTGTTATTACAAACAACCTTTATTCGGGTTAATGTTCATAAATTATATACATATATAAATAATTTTAAAGTATATTTTAGATTTTAATGTATTTATTATTGCCACTCTATCCCAAATTTATATATATTTTTATTTGTATATTTCAATTAAAATATTTTTTATTTTTGTTATATAATCCTTAAATTAATTATTTAATTTTATGATTCAATTTTTGTGTTTTATGATAATTTAACTAGGTTAGTAGGTTAGATTTCTTTTAATATATTTTATTTAAAATTATATTGGAATAATTATAAAGGATTAATAAAACTTAAAATTTTTTTGACAAGGGTGGGTTGGGTTAAGTTGGGTTGTGAAAGTTTTGGGTTGGGTTGACAATCCAACCAACCAAAGGATTGGATCAAAAAAATCCCTCAACCCAACCCGGACCACACCCCTAATTCATTTTGCTGATTTTAATTATTATTTAATTATAAAGTTTTCAATTTTACTTTTACATTATATTTTAAATAGAAATTAAAATTTTAAAACATTAAAAAATTATACATATAAATTAAAACTTTTAACAGATTATTGGGGTTGATTTAAGAAAAAATTACAAATTAATAATAAGAAACCATGTGGCTTAAGGAGTAATTTAATAAATTAAAAGGGTGTAATTATAAAAAACAAATCTCATTAAATATTTTTGAAAGCCCATAGGCCCATAAAAAGTCCAACCCGAAATTGGGTACGGCCCAGCCCAATTAAAATATTATAGAATCAACTACCCGCCATTATCTTCGTCTCCGTCATCGCTCCAACACTCGGATTAGGGCTTTTAGCTTCACCCTCTTCTTCTTCCTCCTTAACTTTTACTCTACACCTCCGGGGACCTCCCTTCTCCGTCTCATTTACGCCATGGACGTCACCAAGAAACGGAGGATGGACGAAAATGGCGTCGACTCCTCCGACCATTCTTTTTCTAGAATTACTCCTGAAGACGCTCGCAAGATCATTGATCGTTTCACTCCGGACCAGCTTATCGATATTTTACAAGATGCAGTTTCGCGTCACGTGGATGTTCTTGATGCAGTACGGTGTATTGCAGACCGAGATGTTTCCCAGCGGAAGCTGTTTATTCGGGGTCTTAGTTGCGATACTAGTACAGAAGGTTTGCGTTCTCTCTTTTCCGCTTATGGCGAGCTTGAAGAAGCTGTTGTTATTATTGACAAGGTGACTGGGAAATCGAAAGGTTATGGCTTTGTGACTTTTAAGCATGTTGATGGTTCTATACTGGCCTTGAAGGAACCGAGCAAGACAATTGATGGCCGCGTTACGGTGACGCAATTGGCTGCAGTGGGAGTTTCTGGGCAGAGTTCGAACGCTGCAGACTTGTCGTTGAGGAAAATTTATGTGGCGAATGTTCCAATGGATATGCCAGCCGATAAGCTGTTGGCACACTTTTCGCTGTATGGAGAAATTGAGGAGGGACCGCTAGGCTTCGATAAGCAGACGGGTAAGTGTAGAGGCTATGCTTTGTTCGTGTACAAAAAGGCAGAGGGTGCTCAAGCAGCTCTGGTTGATCCAATCAAGGCGATTGATGGAAGGCAGTTGAGTTGTAAATACGCTAACGATGGGAAGAAAGGGAAACCTGGCGGTGGGACGGATGGAATTCAAACGACGGGAGCGGGTCAAGGAAACTTGCATGGAGATGGTATGCCTATGGCTCCTCCATCAGCAATCCCCGGTTCGGGCGGACAGTATGGTGGTCCGGGTGGCATGGGATCGTATGGAGGCTTTTCTGGTGGCCCTCAAGGGGCGCAGCCACTTGGTCACCATCCGCTCAACTCTTCAATGGGGCCAGGAATATCCTCTGTCGGTAGTCAGGCTCTATCTTCGCAGGGCAGCTCCGGCGGATATGGTGGCGGTCCATATGGTGGTGGGTACGGCGGGCCCGGTTCCTCAATATATGGTGGTATGGGAAGTGTAGGTGGGGGCTTGGGTAGTTCTGGAGGTGGATTGGGCGGAGCTGGGGATGTTTCATCACTGTATAGGTTATCACAGAGTTCGGTTGGAATACCTTCTGGTGGTTATCCGGATAGTGGGCATTATAGCATGTCATCAGCATCCGGGCACCCAAATCACCACCATCAACAGGCAGGAGCATCACCAGCACCACGTGTTCCACCTGGAGGATTGTATCCCAATATACCACCATATTACTGAGGTATTCTCGTTTTCATTCTTACTGTCAATTATTGCATCAAGTGTGTGATTTTAGATTGGCTACCCATACCTTGTTCTTACTATTTTTCATGTTTGTTCCAAAAATTACTTCGCAGCGTTTCCCCTCTGCTTGATGGTGTTAAATTCCTGGGGTTTTTCCGTTATTAATTTTAGTTTTATTGCTTTTAGCATTTGAGCTTACCATAGATGCATGTTTTGCTTGCAAATCTTTGTTTTCTCGACATTTCAGATTTAGTTTTTGTTGCTCTAGCATTTTTTGGGTTCGTCTTATTGTCTGGGTGACTGTTGAACCGTAGAAGTTCTCTTAATAAATCATTTTCGTATGTTACTATCAATGTGGGCGGGCTCTTTGCTAGTGAACCTTCCAATTTAATAGCAATTTCCACTTTTGGTTTTTGTTTCTTGGTATTGCCATGTGCCGTCTTTAGTCCTTTCACCTTATTTTCAATATTTGCGCATTTGATAATATTTACGTTTGTGCGGTTATTATTTCTAATTTCACTTGTTCATGTATTATGTTGTTAGGACTTGAAATGTAGATGTGATTGGGATACAATCTAGGAAATTTGAATTTTAGCTGGTACATTTGCTATGCATTGGTTGCGTCATTGTGATTTATCACATATGTTTAAGTCATTTTTATGCATCTACTCTAAATCCTATTCTTCTATTTTTCCTGTTCTTTCCTGCTCCCTTATTTTCTTCCTGTTATATGATCACTTTTATCAGGAAAGAGACAGCATTCTCGTCTTTTCTTCTTTTATATATATGTGTGTGTTTGTGTTTGACTTCTTACAATGATGATACCTATTTCTCATCATGTAAGAAAACACTTCTGATAGTACTGCAAATTATCCCTTTATTAGCTCATGTTATGTTCCTCTGGAAAGTTGGATTTTTGAGAATGTTGATTTCATATTTTCATAGGAATTAATTGCTGAATTTATCGATTCACAATTAAAGTTGATTATTTCTGGAATTTCTGCAATCAAAATTGCTTAGATTTTGACCTTTGTAGTTTCCTGGAACATTTTTCGTTATTAATATTAATAGGTGAAGGAATTGTTGGCTTTAAGAAGCACCTAATCTTATTTATCCCAACAGTGATCGCTACTGAATGCTAATGCTTGTGGTTGGGTACATATATATACACATTTATAAATTATCAGATATGTTTTAAGTCATTTGACCATGAGGATGTGGAAATTGAAAGGAGGAAGGTATTATTTGTTCATTTACTATCTATGTAAATGAGAACTTGGCACTCCTACATATCCTGTCCTTGCCTGCCTCATCTTTTCTTCCTTTAACTTACCAGTTGGTTTGGGCAATGAAGACATTCTCATCTTTTCTCCTCTGTTATATATATCTGTTTATTCTCCTGCATATAATATTTGTTTCTTATTCTGAATACTGCCATTTGTTCTGCAGTTTATCCCCGTAGCGCATAATACGTGGCTTAGAAATGTTGAATTATCCGAGAATATTGGTTTCATATTCTTAGTGGCGCTACCTGTTAGAATATATTTATTTACTGTTAAAGTTGATTGTTTCTCTTATTACAGTAATCCAAATCTGGTTTACTGGAGAATTTTACCTTGTTTACAACTGAAGGGAGTGTTAATTTATCATCTAGTTGAAATGTTGGTTTAGCATTCTTTTTCACCTTTATAATTCTAGTCGTCTAAGAGGCGTTTGGATTTCTTATATTATTGCTTTTGGGTATTTCATTTGTAAATATAGGCATTCGGACACTTTTACAATGCCAATGGGTTCCTTTTTACATGTCTTCCATAATTTCAGGTTTCTTGTTTTAAAAAAATGCCTATATAATGTCAAAGTTTTGGTTAAATCTTAAGTATTTTCCTTTGAACTATTTATTTTATGTTAGCTATCTGTACTTAAATTTCCTTTTCTTTTTTTTTATTTTTTATTATTTGTAGTTTTTTTTAGCAAGGTTAGATGATTGGTAGTACATTATGTTTGAATAATTTGCTTTCACTTAGCATGACCTTTTCTTGTATGATTGAGTGTAGTGATGAATTAGTTGAATGGGTTTCTGATTCAGGTTATGATGCTTGTTGTGCGCAGATGCTTTATGTGCTCTGGTGATTGCGTTGATTGCAGACTGTTACTCTGGTTTGATGAATGCATTACCTTTGCTTGTGGCCTCTGCTGTTTAACTGCACCTTTGAGTTGTTCATTTATAGTTACTGTTAGTCAAAGAGAGAGTTAGAAAGTTAGATAATTTGTGTACTCTACCCAATGACTTACTTGTGCTATTTGACTTATCTACTAGTAGTAAATTTAGTATTTTCTGAGTACTACTATTTGCTCTTGTTGTTGTAGTTGTCTGCTTTCTGTTGCTTTCATTATACGTGGACAATGTGTTCTTCCGTCTGTCATTTACTGAGCTTTTACTTTTTTCACCCTAAGCACTTATTGCTTAAAATATGATGTTTTAATATTTTCAATTTGGGCATTACTTGATCTGGCATCTTGATTGAGCATTTCAACGTGCTAGAAAAACGTTGTGTTGTCTTGGTTGCTACTTGTTTGCTGGGAACTTTGAATCCTTTGCAGTTCCTGTTGTCCAAGTGGTTTCTACTTCTTCTCTTCCATTATTATTGTCATACTTTTGGAATGGTTTCCTTCTATTGCTACTCTTCATTCTTTGTGAATGGTGGATGAAAGAAGTAGATAAACATCCATGGTGGTTCTATTGGCTGAACATGTTTTGTGTGCCCATGCTTTGTGGATTCACTTCTATTGCTGCTCTGCTATGTTGTATCTCTGTATTGAAAAAGTTGATGGAGCCACAAACTTTGTCAGACTTGGATTTGAATGTTACTTGAAGACCTTTGTATATCTTATCTTTGGATCGTAGAGATGATATTTTCACTGCTGAACTGTGACTCTTAGTTGCATTCATTGATGATTAAGTGCATATTGAGCTGGATTCTTGGACCAAATACCTGTGTGCATAGTAATAGACTGAGTTCGTTTTTGTTTCAGTCAATTGCTTGTTTAATTTTCTGTCCTGTAGTGATTAGACCGAAGTAGGCTTGGTTAACAGTGGGTGGTGTATTTTGTGTTTTATGGATATTGACAAGATTTGTTTTCTCATTGTCCTTTTTAATCTCTATTATGTTCATGTGTTGAAAGAAAATTAATCCAGGCAACATGCATAAATAAATATGAATGCAAGCTTATTTGGAGCTGGCTTTCTTCCTTCTTGATCCTATGATATTATCAGTAGCTTTTGGGGGTTGAAGTTGAATTTTGACTTGTTTCCCTACTTTTTGTGGCGTGTGTTTTGTGGAGAGATGATGAGCATTTGGTAATTATATTTTGCTGGAGTTTTAGGTGTTAAGACGTGTTTGGTTGATAAGTTTGGGAGGGCCAACTATGTAATTTGTTATTTTGGCTATGTCAGTGGGGTTTTCAGAGGGCATGTTTATGGCCATTTGTCTTGTTTGGAGATTTAGAATTTTGTATAAGTTTGGAATTTGTAAGATGGATTTTAGAAATGGGTGCTATTCTAATGTTTCAACTTACAAGATTAGCAAATTTGTTGTCCTAGATTTAGTCAGTTGCAAGATTCAGGACCGGTTTGGAATGCATTTTGAAGTGCTTAAAAATCCATTCCATATCGGCCCTAAATTTAAGCTACAAAATCTTTAGCCCAAATGGCTCTTGATTGTTTCCCCTGTTGCCTTTCTGATTGGTGGAATATGAAATGAGGTGACAAATGGACACTCTCCCACTGGGGCACCTGTTTGGAAGACTCAAAATCAGTCAAGAAGAGTATTGTTCACATAAATTTGTAGGGGAAATTTGATACATCCTTTCTAAGGCAACCAATTGAACCATTGAAGCTCACTCAGTTGACCCATAGCATCTCTCTATACTCTAGTTTCGACTCTGTTCTATAGATGGACGGTTGTGTCCTTGAGTTCTATGGAGGACATATTTATTCGTTTTGGTTATTGATAAAGTATGTGTTGTACTTAAACAAGATTTGATACACAATAAGGCTAGATTCTGTGTATTGAAGATGCTGCAATTTCCTAATTAATAGGAAAAACCTTCTTCTACCATTTAAAATACTCTCCTTGTGTATAACCCGTTCTTCATTTTGTTTTTGCTGGTGAAAGAACACAAAATATTGTCACTGATGAATTTCGAATGAATCATATGGAAGGTGGTTTAGTGGGCAAAACAATATAGTGATATCAATAAATTGCAATGTTTGTGATATTGAAATTATTATTATGATGAAAATTGCTTTAGTAGATACTTCAGACTTTTTCAAAATAGGACATTGGATTCATTTCATTATGATCCAAATTTGAGCATGATTTGAAGTTCTCATTGAATGTCAGCGTCAGTATCTAATTCTTTAGACTAACTAAACTTTTAGTTGTCATATACAGATTATGATTCATGGAAACAATAATCAAATGGAAGCAGCAAACTCTTAATTTTGATTTGAATTCCTTTCTATTCCTCCCTTTGACCTCACTGCAAGTAGATGATGGAATTTGGACTTTTCATCTTGCCAACAAGGTACTTTCTTATTTCTAGTCTTTTAGAATATTACATCACAGATATCTATTAGAAAAAGTGAACCTACGATCTTGAAGAAGTCAAAAAAGCCTTATCCGCTCAAGTTCTCCTATTTATCTTGAGAGTTCTTTGCCTTTGATGTTTTGGTTGAAACCTATCAAAGATTTTGATGGTTTCTTAACAAGTAAGCATACAAAATTTCATTCCATGTATCGGGAACTCCTGGTAAACACCAATGGATGCAATCTGCAAAAATTTTTGGATCGGATCTCTGTTGTTTGGTCAAAAGCTTGCCTCGACGCTCCCCGTAAATTGACGTATGTGCATCCTTTCGAAACTCTGATAGCTGTGTAATGTTTAATATAGTTACATCTACTTTGAGATTCTGTATAGTATCATGAATTGTTTCCATAATCTCTGTGCTAGAACCAGTGCCCCAGTGTGGATGGTGCATTGGTTGAGTTTCGTTGAAGCAGTTCTCATCACTTCCTGGCCTCCATTCCCAGCTCCTACAAGAGATAAGTTGCTTTCTTTCATATTTAGTGACCATTTAAACTGAGATGGAACGAATTTAAGCAAGGTTATGAAGAAAAGAAACTTCATAAAGAACTTGGGAGCCTTGTTTTTACTACCCTTATGAGTTGTAAATGGTTGAAAAGGTCAGGAAAGCATTTAGAGTGAAACCCACCACAAATGTGTTGGAGACATTGTCATGAAGAAGACGTTTTGAGACTTTGGGTTGATGTTGGATTCTAGCCAATTTGCCCATGTTTCCATTGCCAATCTGTATGCAGTGCTCACATTATACTCTTTTACATCCTCTGGAGATCCATACCTTAAAAGAAGGAAACACACAATCAATCTCAAGGACTTTCATTAAATCACAAAAGTCACATTAGATAACTTCAAAGAATTTTGGCATGTTTCACTCCCGAACATGTCCTTCTTTTGGTCGCTCTCGTTAAGAATACTGAAAGATAAATATTGATTGATTGGACAATGATGTGATGTCAGATGGAATTAGTAGAAGTAGATTGCTAGACAAAATTGAGTTAGTTCGAAAACATTGATTAAAAAGGAGGGTATATTGGTCATACTACGTAGAATCACGACTCATTGTTTATGCGTAAGTTAAAATATTAGGGACTAAATGAGTTCGACTTCCCAAGTTTAGGGACTAGCCAACCAGGAAACTTTAGGAAAAGAATACATACGTCGCATTGATCACGGGTTTGTATCTCCACCAGACATAGCTCTCAAACACCAAAACATCAACCCCTTTCCAGTGCTTGCCATGGTTAGCTATGGAGTCGAGCTTCACCATTCTTTTCAACACTGTATGGTTGGTTGCATGATCAGAAATCGACTCAACTATAAACGGTGCCCAGTAGTACTCGATGGATACATTGTAATCCTGAATCGACAAATCCAAAACGTGAGTATTCGAATTCTGAAACGATCGATATTCTGTTTGGTTCTAGTTTCAAAATGGAAGTATATTGTTCTTCCTTTTTATTATAAGAATGTTAGAACTTTTATGATGGATAGGTATGCACTTTTCACAGCTTTGAGCCTTTGAGGTACCTCAACTTTGAAGATCTTCCTGGGAGGAACTCTTTGAAGGGATTTCTTTCCTTTGGGAATGGCTGATTGAACCAAGCAGACCATTGATTCAAATTGCCCTCTCTGAATTGAGTCCCCAACAAACATTATTCTTTTGTCCCTCAAAATATCCAACAGCTTCAATGGATCAAACCTGAAACCGTCCCAAATACCATTATAATCTCGACTATAAGGTCGGAGACTAGAATCCCGAGTCAGGATCGAAAGAAGTAAACAAATTGCGATACCTCGGTAAATTGCAAGAATTAGGCTGCCATCTCCACTTCTTATAGAAAGAATCAGGTCTTCCATTCTTTTGGCAAGTAACTTGTTTAACTAGATATGGGCATGTCTCTTCTTCATAAAGAGGGTATGATGCATTATCCCATTCCCATTTCCCGTCGAACAAATTGCAGTCTTCATCTATGAGATCCTTTGAAGAAACAACAATAGGTAGTCGGTGACGGGTTTCGCTTCTCGGTCGGCCGTACATCTTGAAGACAAAGCTTCCATGACTCTTGAGATCATCTAAGACTAGCCGAGCGAGTCCTAAGATGAGAAAAGCTGCCAATGCTAACGGAAAGGCGGAATGAATTTGTCGATCGAACGAGAGTTGTTTCAGCATTTTCTTTTGTTGGTGATGAGTTTATTTTCTTTACTATTGTTGGACATTGAGTTTATTGGGAAGTTATTGAATTCTTGATAATATCTTTAGTTTGAAGTATCCTTTCTCTATTTGTGCAACCACCAGTTGGTGGAATGTTGGTGGTAGTTTCATGCATTGCAAAGCTATGTTTTTTTCCATCTCGAGTTCGATATCGGTCTTGTGTTCGATATCGGCATAAAGAGTGAATCAATATTTCAATATACTGTAAAAGAGAATCCAATGAAATATTTAAAAAGATAGCTGTAAAATTTAATTCATGTGATTATAATGTTAGTAATAAGTAGTATACAATGTTAATTTTTTAGTTTAAATATATATTTTAAAATTCTTGTTTCTAAAATCTGTCTACATTGATATCGATATTTCATCGATGTTTCTAGACATTTATATTGGTATGTTCAACCTTGATTTTAATCGATTGAGTTGTTCTAATATTGTTCATAGATCTTTTTGTTAGATAAAATGTCGAGCTTCTTAAAATGATTATCGGGTTGTTTTGGAGACCTTTATTTTGCTTTACTCTTAAATTTTCAATTTTATTAATCAAACTTTGAAAAAGGATAGGATTTATTTTGTTTAATCCGAACAATGATTTTTTTAATGGGTTAAATATAAAATCTAATAAAAGCAGAGTTGAGGTGTTCATTATATGACTCGATAACTCAACGAGTATAAATTTTTTTTCAATGTGAATTAAGTTGAATTTTTTGAAAAACAAAAATTGAAGTCGGTTCACGAGTTGGTATTTTTTTCTTTGTTGGGTTAACTCGACCAACTCAAAAATAGGGTCACAATCGAATATAACCTATCATATTTCTAAGATTATTGTAAAAATTAAAATTTATTTAACATTGATAAGCAATATTAGTGATACATTGTGATTTGTGAATGTTTGATATATGAGCTGAAATTTAAGTTATTAATATAACACGAAGAAATATAATATTATTTAAAAAATAATAGCTGTACAACTCTATCTAACCTGAGCTAAAAATAAAGAATTTGATTGAGTTGTGAACTCTATTTAAATTGTTAAATTCTAAAAAATAGGGTTTAGGGTTTAGGCTAATGTAAGATCTGAAGAGGGAAATTTAAAACCCTAAAAAATAAAAATTGTACGCACAAAGAAAAGATTTCATTAATTCAGTAGATAAATATCTGGAAAATTAAATAAAAGAATTTGTCTGATAAAACACTTGCAGATGATGAAATTAATATATCTTCGCCGCAGAGACTCACTCCGGTAGCTGTTCTTTCGAGAATGTTGAACAATGGAGTGCGCAGCCTTCACACTTCCTGTTTGCGCTTTCCCTACTTGGCGGAGAGGCCTCTTTTCCGATCAATTTCGTACCGGGGAACTCGCCGCCGGCGACTTTTTGCGAGCTTCGGCTCTGCTTCAGCCACCGCCACTAAGGAAAGGAAGGAGAAGGTGATTGTTATATCTGGTCCGACTGGTGCTGGGAAGAGCAGGCTTGCTATGGAGCTTGCTAAGCGTCTCAATGGTGAAATTGTCAGCGCCGACTCTGTCCAGGTCAATTGACAATGTCTGTCTTTGAATGTTGCTGAGAAAATGGGAGGAAAATGAAAACGAAACTAGAATTGGACTTTAATTTCAGTTTTCTGTTTTTTCAATGGCCGTTTGAGTTCATCTAGTTGTGCAAATGAATCTAATAGCTTTGGCTCAAACAAATTTAGTCAGGTAAAGCTTTGTTTTACAGAAGATTAATGGAATTGAAGGCTGGAAAACGACTTGGTACAGCGAAGAAGATTTGAGAAACTTGGATGTAAACCAAATATTAGGATGATAGCCTGCAATACACATGTTTATCTTTGCATTTACATGTGCATAAAGCACGATACATCAATGCACGGGAATTTCAAACTTTCTAGCGTCTCTCGTTCACATATCTTTCCATATCTTTCCAAACCTGTAACAACTTTTGGTGCCACGAAATTTTTGGGAAGAAGAGAAACCAGTGCCTTCTTAGCTCTAATACTTCGAGAGAGCAACATTTCTTTTAGCTTTAAGCAATTTTCCTTGGCTTGTGTGCTGTGTATCTAGATAAGGGTTCCGTCGCTAACATGTTTTCTTATTTTGGAATTTGTATGGCTTTCACTTTGTAATGTTAATGAAACAGTTTCTTGAATGCTAATATTATTCATTCTGGTTAATTTCAGGTATATCAGGGTCTTGATATTGGATCTGCGAAGCCTTCTGCAAGGGATAGAAAGGTGACTTATATCCTACGTGCTCTAAATTTTTGCTATTAATTAGTAACTGAAGCTTGAGGAATCCTTGTCTAGTCCTCTGTTTTAAAGACGCTTAGGAATTCTACATTGAGAAGTGACGAGAGGGGAGAAGAAAAGGTGTGATTGACATAAAAGTAGAAATTGCGTTAATTCAACTATGAATAATCAAATACAAGTCGTTAAGCTGTAATTGGAATAGCATATATTGAGAATAATTGATTGCGTAGTCTCAAATCCCAAATGTAAAAATGAATCATACAGTCTTGATGTTGGAGTCCTTTTAATGGAATTGATTTGTCCATTTACCCATGTGTTTCTGATATTGATAAGTGAATCTTGATTTACTTCACATATAACTTGTCTCCTGAAGTATGCTTTATATTTTTGGGTTAAAGATAAGATTACTTTAATTATGGCTGAGTGAGATCATTTGTATTAATAATGTTAAGTGACTGTTTTAGCTAATGTAGATATACATATTTTAAATTCTGTAGTCAAGTTGATTGAATACACTTTTCATTCGATCGAGATTTCATTCTCTCTATTTTAGGAGGTTCCGCATCATCTGCTTGACATACTACGTCCATATGAAGGTATGCTTTTCACTGGCTCTGTCATCTGGGAATTTAACTCCAACGTATTTTACCATATTCGCTTGTAATGTAATTTAAATATTCAATGAACAAATTGATATTTCTTTGTGCAAGAATTTTTGAACTCATTGTTAAATTTGTCCAGAATATTCTGCTGGTCAGTTTTTTGAGGATGCGAGGCAAGCGACAAGATGTATCCTTGATAATGGCCGTGTTCCAATAGTTTCTGGTGGGACAGGATTGTATTTAAGATGGTGTGTACCATAATGGCCTTCCCTAGAATTTTTCTTTCTGTTGGTTACTATTATTGAAAATAGGATTAGCACGAAACATCTCGTCCTTAGTTAATGAATGAAACTGGAAACATGACTGTCGGTGTTAGTGGTGCTTGTGTCTTTTTCTTGCATGTAATGCTGACTTAATGCTATTAGAAGATGGACCCCCCCAGTCTGTGAAAGAACAATAGAGCATATGATGAGAATGACTGATTAGATGAACAGAAAAAAAGTATCATTGACAATGTTGAACAAGTATAATATTGTCCACCCCCCCAATGATGGTCGAATTATTCAGTAGAATAGGTTGCTCAACTTTTTGCTATTGAATATATCATACAAAAAAACATTTTGTAAAGTAGCTTTTATTTTGGGTGTGAGATCAAATGAAGGTTCATGTATGGCAAACCCAATGTTCCGAAGGCCACCCCAGACGTTGCTGTCAAAGTATATTCTGAGTTAGCTGACCTTCAGAAAAATGAAGACTGGGATGCAGCTGTGCAATTGGTTGTCAAAGCTGGTGATCCTAGAGCACAGCATTTACCTACTAATGATTGGTACCGATTGCGGCGTAGCTATGAGATTGTCAAGGTAATTTCTTGTTCTTGCCTGTTTATTTGATACTCTCTCTTTCTGGATGCTTATTCTTCTATTTGCATGATTTGCGCTAGCATGTCTTCTTTGTCTTGGTTTTGTGTGTGAACCATTGCTCAAGCAATTTCATGTTAGATTGATTCTATAGACTTGGTTTAATAGGGTACCTTCCTGCTTAATTTGGGTTGAGATAACTACATTATATGATGGGATACTTCGTGCTGTAATTTACAATATCAATCAGGAGGGTTTTCTGTGACTCTTTGGTTGCGTTCTTTGGTATTTGACCTTTATGTCTATTTCGATCTGTCATTGAAATTTGGTTTACCAAAAAAAAAAAACTAAAAATAGAAATAAATAAAGAATGAAAGAAATAAGAAGTTACGGAAGAATACAAACATATATGAGGAAAAGTAATTAATTTATTTTCTTGTGGAAAGTCCGGAATATTTAAAGGATAGAGATGAAAAGATCTTTTAAAAGATAAGACTGATGAAGTGCTGGCAGTGTGACTTAGATCATTATTCCTAGTATCTTTTTTTCTAGGCTTCTTTGACTCGGTAGTTCAAAGATCCTCCATATTTATGACTTTCCTTTTTTTTTTTTTTTTTTTTNTTATGACATAGATCTTGTTCTTTTGGATTGGAGTCCTTTTTGTAGTTAGTGCCGGGCTTCTGTTTTATTTTTTGGCTCGTTTTTTTTTCTTTACGCTCTTGAACTCTTTCATTCTTTTTCAATGAAGTTTGGTTTTTTACCTAAAAACATCAAAGGGACAACTAAAAAGACATTTCCTATTTCTTTTCGAAAATCCCTCTCAATGTAGTAAAGAAACTGTTTTCCATAAGAAGCTTCCACTTCCCCAAATATGTGGGTGTAAGAAAATCTCCTCTGGATTACTGATTACGCTGTAGCTGACCATAATGTTTTCCACAGCCTTCACCAGAAGTTTAAACTTTAAAGCAAGACAGACAAAGCTAAACATGATTATTTTCTTCCAATGATTCATGATTCACTTCCGTCAATGCCTAATTACAAAGAATAATCCAGTACAGATAAAGAGCACTGTGGAAAACCCCTAGCTGAAAGAAAAAAAAGGATTTTGAAGTTGTAATGTATTTGTCCTACCTTCTAGCTATCAATACCTTTTCTTGAATGATTTTATTTTTTTTCCAATTAGAAAATTTATAATATATTAATGTGATGTAACATTCCTTTGCAGGCAAGTGGTTTACCTCCATCTGCATTTCAAGTTCCATATGACACTTTCAGACAAGGATGTGGTTCTGGTGCAACAAGCAGCTTTCAGGATGCTGACCATTCAGTTGACTCTTCTGTTGATTCAAGTGAGGAAATTAGCTCGAAAGAGTTGGATTATGAGTTCATTTGTTTCTTCCTCTCTAGCCCAAGGCTCAATTTGTATAGGTCAATTGACTTCCGCTGTGAAGATATGATTTCAGGTGGGTGTACTATTAAAGTTAAAGTAAATAAATATAACAGAATTCCTTCTGTTGAGTTGTAGCTAGTAGTTATTTCAGTTGAAGACTTGTAATATCATGCATGATGTTCTACTTGTCTTGTGAGTGACAGAATCTTTTATTGCTCGCATTAGTAAATTGGTCAGTTTATTTTACTAAACTCCAATACTTTTCATTATCTGTAGGAAGTGATGGGATTTTATCTGAGGCAACATGGCTTCTTAATAGCGGCCTTCTTCCAGATTCAAATTCTGCCACTCGAGCTATTGGTTATAGACAAGTACATCCTGGACATCTTAATATATTTCAGTCTTTATATTTGAATATGGTGTGCGGAAGCTTTCTATTATTGTTTGTTTACTCTGACCTTTCTATTTGCAGAGATTATGTAATGAAACCGTTAAGGGTACTTCATTCTGGTTCCATTCGTTGTTAAAAAAATTATGAGCTTGGACTTGATTATATGTTAAGTAGATGTCACAAAAACTTAAGCTATTAAGTAGAATGGTTTGAATAGTATTGTACTCAATATAAACTTCAACTTTAGCAATGTGGGATTTATTTTTAATAATCGCCTTTATGCACATGGTCTTACCGAGAGTTTTAGACCTTTTTCATGTACTGGATGCGAGCACAAAGAAGCTCTATTGAGCAGAGTTTTGATATTATGTGTGCGTGTGTTGAGCTTCCCTATATTCTTTTGCCTTCTCATTGAAAATTCATTGTGGGCTTGTGGCTGTCTGCAGCTAATTCATTACCTAATAGTAATAGAAAAAAAAAAATAATGAATAAAACAAAGAAGAGAAAAGGAAAATCGACAAAATGTGACTGGAATTTCTTCTGGGGAGGATGTTCTTAGCTACGCAGCCCTGAAACAATTTGTCAGGAAGCAGCACCCCATAACTTATCTCGGTTTAAACATAGATAATATTAATTCTTGTACTTGTTAAATGGCTTTGAAGGTTCCCAAGAGAAACTGACTCTCCTAGATACAAAGTTAATACCAGCTACTATGGTAGGAACTTCCTTCGCTAATTCATGGAGACTGCAGAAGCCATTGAAAGTCTTTGTCATAACTTCTTCATATGATTTCTTTAACTTCTTTTTTTGTTTTATATCCTATAACTTCTTGATAAGTTCCATAAATTACATTGTGCAACTGTCATCTTTTTTAGCATTTATTTTGCACCTAATTTTGTTAGTTTTCCTCTTCAGTGTAGGCAAGATACGCAGCCACTAATCTATTGTGAATCATGAATTTCAGGCTATGGAGTACCTATTAAGGTGTAGGCAACAAGGTGGAAGGAGTTCTCCAGGAGAGTTCTTTGCCTTTCTCTCTGAATTTCAGAAAGCATCTAGGTAACTCCATTGTGCGTGTGAGCAAAATGGCTTTAGTTTTGAGAAAGCTATGCGTCCAAGTTGTTCTAGATTTTGAGGATATTTGTTCAGTGGACAATTAATCAACTGGCTCAATAGAAATTTCAAACTGTGTTCACAGTAAATTATATGAATTGTTTCAAGGAAAAAAAAAAGTTGGATGATTATTGTCAAATTATGAAGCCATATAACAAGATGGACTAGGTTACTCTTTTGTTTTCAAAAACCATCGGAATTGGAATAAACAATCTCCTCTTTTACGCAAATACAACACAGATCAGTCTATGCATAGATAAGGTCTTTGGCCTACAAATATTCTCTAGGGCTTAGACCTTCCAACATAACAAGCTCCTCTCCACAATACATCTTTGGGTGTTTTCCTAAAACTAAATTTGATTGAATGGAATGACTTAAGGGTAGAAAAAAGGTTGAATCCAACAGCGGCAGGAAATAGTTCTGGAATCCTTTCTTAACTAGATTACGCCTAGGTATGTGATCTGTTGAGAATTTCAAATGCGGTTACAGGCTGTTTGAACTAGCATTAGCTTTATATTTTATGGCCTTGCCCAATGGTTCTTGCTGATTCCTTGTGGGAGAAGTACTTTGAGTACAAACCATGCTTTAGTGCTATATACTCCCCTTATCTTTCTATATACTCCATATGCTTTTGCGTTTTGTTGGGTTTCAAATCGGAAACTGAAAAATCACTGTGCAGAAATTTTGCAAAAAGGCAATTGACTTGGTTTAGGAATGAGCGGATATATCACTGGCTTGATGCTTCTAAACCCCTGGTATGTTCTTTTCATTTTTTCTTCTGTTCAAACTACATTTCTTCCCCACTATGAAGAGTAGCGCTGCCAATTTTGTTCTCCACATACTCTGTATTTTACAACCTTCATTCTCAAATCTAAAAGTTGATCGCTGATGTTCTTGTTATTCACTTGATTGAATTCTGTAATCGTCTTAAACTAATTTTCTTAGTGGAACGGTTTTTATCATAGTTTCTTCATCGTGCTTAAATAATTAAGTTTCACAATACGTTCTGTTTCGGATACTAATACTAGTAAATTCTATGTACTACCATTACCTTTAAATTCCTTTAGTTCGCCTATGAAACCATGAGGACTTTGAAGTTATTGAGAAGTCTCTTACAAAAGGAAAAAGAATTAGTATTACTAAACATAGCCTTTGTTGAGAATTTTCCCTTCAGCATGGTTGTTTTTGTACAATCCTTTTATGTCAATTTCAAACTCAACCATTTACTTCTATCAACATGCTGCTTTCTTCTTCTTGTAAAATATGGTTCGGGTAGTATCATTCTATAGTCAGCATGCATTCAACCCATGACTAAACCCGTGCTTATGTAAGCAAAACATTAATGGTTCAGTGACTTGGTTTTTAATGAGCACAGGAGTAGATGAATCTCACATGGATAAATCCATTGTATTCATGTTAATGATTGAATTGTAAGGACATTTCATTATAACAATGCATCAAGAGTTGTTTAAATTACTAGTTACATGTTTATAGTTACAATTTTATGATGAAATTCTCAAGTCTGTTCTGATCAATGTGTGGGACAAAAATATTTGCAGGAAAATGCACTCAACTTTATTTATGATGCTTACCATAATGAAAGTGGAAATATCTCCGTTCCAGATTCACTTAGAATGGAGAAAGATATTTCCAGTCACCGAGAGGCTTCGGAACTCAAGGCTTATCGAGCGAAAAATAGGTACTACTTACAGTCAAGTCAATTATATCACATTTGGGCATTATTGTATCAAATCATGAAATGTGCTAATAACAGCTTCTTCACCCCCCAATTCACAGATATTTTGTTAGACGTGAAGATTGTGCTGATGTTTTGGATTGGATAAAAAGAACCCAAAGTGTTTACCAAGATAATCCTGTCGCTTGAACGAGTTCGATCTCGACCTCATTTTTTTATGCAAAGGAATCTTACTTACCAAAAAATCTTGGTAGGCCATTGACTTTACTCCTATACAATGTATTTCATTTTTCAGCTTGTTCGGTTTAAAATCGTTCTGATGCATGGATTTATCTGCAGCAGATCTCACTTAAGTTGTGCATAAGTTCAGAAGTGAGTGTTCATTTATTCTACTACCAAATGCCAGAAGTTTGATAATGCTGCTTGTCAATATCGAATCCCCCCCCCCCCCC